CGAGCCGCCCCGAGCATGGAACGTCGGACCTCGGAGGGGGAACCCGAGGGGACGGCCCAGGGCTGGGAGCTGCTGTGCAACTACGGAATGTTCCACGGAGGTGAGGGGGGCGGGGCGTGGGGGGGGGGGTCTCTGTGTGGGGCTCTATGGGTCTCTGTGTGGGGCTCTGTGTGGGTCTCTATGGGTCTCTGTGTGGGGCTCTGTGTGGGTCTCTGTGGGTCTCTATGGGTCTCTGTGTGGGTCTCTATGGGTCTCTGTGTGGGTCTCTGTGTGGGTCTCTGTAAGGGTCTCTGTGTGGGTCTCTATGTGGGTCTCTGTGTGGGTCTCTGTGTGGGTCTCTATGTGGGTCTCTGTGTGGGTCTCTGTGTGGGGCTCTATGTGTCTCTCTGTGTGGGTCTCTGTGTGGGGCTCTGTGTGGGTCTCTGTGGGTCTCTGTGTGGGTCTCTATGTGTCTCTCTGTGTGGGTCTCTGTGTGGGGCTCTGTGTGGGTCTCTGTGGGTCTTTGTGTGGGTCTCTGTGGGGGTCTCTGTGGGTCTCTGTGTGTCTCTCTGTGTGGGTCTCTGTGTGGGTCTCTGTGGGTCTCTGTGTGGGTCTCTGTGTGGGTCTCTATGGGTCTCTGTGTGGGGCTCTGTGTGGGTCTCTGTGTGGGTCTCTATGGGTGTGGGTCTCTGTGTGGGTCTCTGTGGGTCTCTGTGTGGGTCTCTATGGGTCTCTGTGGGTCTCTGTGTGGGTCTCTGTGGGTCTCTGTGTGGGTCTCTGTGTGGGTCTCTGTGGGTCTCTGTGTGGGTCTCTATGGGTCTCTGTGGGTCTCTGTGTGGGTCTCTGTGTGGGTCTCTGTGTGGGTCTCTGTGTGGGTCTCTGTGTGGGTCTCTGCGTGTGTCTCTGTGTGGGTCTCTGTGTGGGTCTCTGTGGGTCTCTGTGTGGGTCTCTGTGTGGGTCTCTATGGGTCTCTGTGTGGGTCTCTGTGTGGGTCTCTGTGTGGGTCTCTGTGTGGGTCTCTATGGGTCTCTGTGTGGGTCTCTGTGTGGGTCTCTGTGGGTCTCTGTGTGGGTCTCTGTGTGGGTCTCTGTGGGTCTCTGTGTGGGTCTCTGTGGGTTTCTGTGTGGGTCTCTGTGTGGGTCTCTGTGGGTCTCTGTGTGGGTCTCTGTGTGGGTCTCTGTGTGGGGCTCTGTGTGGGTCTCTGTGGGTCTCTGTGTGGGTCTCTGTGTGGGTCTCTGTGTGGGTCTCTGTGTGGGTCTCTGTGTGGGTCTCTGTGGGTCTCTGTGTGTGTCTCTCTGTGTGGGTCTCTGTGTGGGGCTCTGTGTGGGTCTCTGTGGGTCTCTGTGTGGGTCTCTGTGTGGGTCTCTGTGTGGGTCTCTGTGTGGGTCTCTGTGTGGGTCTCTATGGGTCTCTGTGTGGGGCTCTGTGTGGGTCTCTGTGTGGGTCTCTATGGGTGTGGGTCTCTGTGTGGGTCTCTGTGTGGGTCTCTGTGTGGGTCTCTGTGTAGGTCTCTGTGTGGGTCTCTGTGGGTCTCTGTGTGGGTCTCTATGGGTCTCTGTGGGTCTCTGTGTGGGTCTCTGTGTGGGTCTCTGTGTGGGTCTCTGTGTGGGTCTCTGTGTGGGTCTCTGTGTGGGTCTCTGTGTGGGTCTCTGTGGGTCTCTGTGTGGGTCTCTGTGTGGGTCTCTGCGTGGGTCTCTGCGTGGGTCTCTGTGTGGGTCTCTGTGTGTGTCTCTGTGTGGGTCTCTGTGTGGGTCTCTGTGGGTCTCTGTGTGGGTCTCTGTGTGGGTCTCTATGGGTCTCTGTGTGGGTCTCTGTGTGGGTCTCTGTGTGGGTCTCTGTGTGGGTCTCTATGGGTCTCTGTGTGGGTCTCTGTGTGGGTCTCTGTGGGTCTCTGTGTGGGTCTCTGTGTGGATCTCTGTGGGTCTCTGTGTGGGTCTCTGTGGGTTTCTGTGTGGGTCTCTGTGTGGGTCTCTGTGGGTCTCTGTGTGGGTCTCTGTGTGGGTCTCTGTGTGGGTCTCTGTGTGGGTCTCTGTGGGGGTCTCTGTGTGGGTCTCTCTGTGGGTCTCTGTGTGGGTCTCTGTGGGTCTCTGTGTGGGTCTCTGTGTGGGTCTCTGTGTGGGTCTCTGTGTGGGTCTCTGTGTGGGGCTCTGTGTGGGTCTCTGTGTGGGTCTCTGTGTGGGTCTCTGTGTGGGTCTCTGTGTGGGGGTCTCTGTGGGTCTCTATGGGTCTCTGTGTGAGTCGCTGTGTAGGTCTCTGTGTGGGTCTCTGTGTGGGTCTCTGTGTGAGTCGCTGTGTAGGTCTCTGTGTGGGGCTCTGTGTGTGTCTCTATGGGTCTCTGTGTGGGGCTCTGTGGGTCTCTGTGTGGGTCTCTGTGTGGGTCTCTGTGTGGGTCTCTATGGGTCTCTGTGTGGGTCTCTGTGTGGGTCTCTGTGTGGGTTTCTGTGTGGGTCTCTGTGTGGGTCTTTGTGGGTCTCTGTGTGGGTCTCTATGTGGGTCTCTGTGGGTCTCTGTGTGGGTCTCTGTGTGGGTCGCTGTGTGGGTCTCTGTGGGTCTCTGTGTGGGTCTCTGTGTGGGTCTCTGTGGGTCTCTGTGTGGGTCTCTGTGGGGGTCTCTGTGGGTCTCTGTGGGGGTCTCTGTGGGTCTCTGTGTGGGTCTCTGTGTGGTCTCTGTGTGGGTCTCTGTATGGGTCTCTATGGGTCTCTGTGGGTCTCTGTGTGGGTCTCTGTGTGGGGCTCTGTGTGGGTCTCTGTGGGTCTCTGTGTGGGTCTCTGTGGGTCTCTGTGTGGGTCTCTGTGTGGGTCTCTGTGGGTCTCTGTGTGGGTCTCTCTGGGTCTCTATGGGTCTCTGTGTGGGTCTCTGTGTGGGTCTCTGTGTGGGTCTCTGTGTGGGTCTCTGTGTGGGTCTCTGTGGGTCTCTGTGTCGGTCTCTGTGTGGGCCTCTGTGTGGGTCTCTGTGTGGGTCTCTGTGTGGGTCTCTGTGGGTCTCTGTGTGGGTCTCTGTGTGGGTCTCTGTGTGGGTCTCTGTGTGGGTCTCTGTGGGTCTCTATGTGGGTCTCTGTGTGGGTCTCTGTGTCGGTCTCTGTGGGTCTCTGTGTGGGTCTCTGTGTGGGTCTCTGTGGGTCTCTGTGTGGGTCTCTGTGGGTCTCTATGGGTCTCTGTGTGGGTCTCTGTGTGGGTCTCTGTGTGGGTCTCTGTGTGGGTCTCTGTGGGTCTCTGTGTCGGTCTCTGTGTGGGCCTCTGTGTGGGTCTCTGTGTGGGTCTCTGTGTGGGTCTCTGTGGGTCTCTGTGTGGGTCTCTGTGTGGGTCTCTGTGTGGGTCTCTGTGTGGGTCTCTGTGGGGGTCTCTCTGTGTGGGTCTCTATGGGTCTCTGTGTGGGTCTCTGTGGGTCTCTGTGTGGGTCTCTGTGTAGGTCTCTGTGTGGGTCTCTGTGGGTCTCTGTGTGGGTCTCTGTGTGGGTCTCTGTGTGGGTCTCTGTGTGGGTCTCTGTGTGGGTCTCTGTGTGGGTCTCTGTGTGGGTCTCTGTGTGGGTCTGTGTGGGTCTCTGTGGGTCTCTGTAGGTCTCTGTGTGGGTCTCTGTGTGGGTCTCTGTGGGTCTCTGTGTGGGTCTCTGTGGGTCTCTGTGTGGGTCTCTGTGGGGGTCTCTGTGGGTCTCTGTGTGGGTCTCTGTGTGGTCTCTGTGTGGGTCTCTGTATGGGTCTCTATGGGTCTCTGTGGGTCTCTGTGTGGGTCTCTGTGTGGGGCTCTGTGTGGGTCTCTGTGGGTCTCTGTGTGGGTCTCTGTGGGTCTCTGTGTGGGTCTCTGTGTGGGTCTCTGTGGGTCTCTGTGTGGGTCTCTCTGGGTCTCTATGGGTCTCTGTGTGGGTCTCTGTGTGGGTCTCTGTGTGGGTCTCTGTGTGGGTCTCTGTGTGGGTCTCTGTGTGGGTCTCTGTGTGGGTCTCTGTGTGGGTCTCTGTGGGTCTCTGTGTCGGTCTCTGTGTGGGCCTCTGTGTGGGTCTCTGTGTGGGTCTCTGTGTGGGTCTCTGTGGGTCTCTGTGTGGGTCTCTGTGTGGGTCTCTGTGGGTCTCTGTGTGGGTCTCTGTGGGTCTCTATGGGTCTCTGTGTGGGTCTCTGTGTGGGTCTCTGTGTGGGTCTCTGTGTGGGTCTCTGTGTGGGTCTCTGTGGGTCTCTGTGTCGGTCTCTGTGTGGGCCTCTGTGTGGGTCTCTGTGTGGGTCTCTGTAAGGGTCTCTGTGTGGGTCTCTGTGTGGGTCTCTGTGGGTCTCTGTGGGTCTCTGTTTGGGTCTCTGTGTGGGTCTCTGTGGGGGTCTCTATGGGTCTCTGTGTGGGTCTCTGTGTGGGTCTCTGTGTGAGTCTCTGTGGGTCTCTGTGTCGGTCTCTGTGTGGGGCTCTGTGTGGGTCTCTGTGGGTCTCTGTGTGGGTCTCTGTGGGTCTCTGTGTGGGTCTCTGTGTGGGTCTCTGTGGGTCTCTGTGTGGGTCTCTCTGGGTCTCTATGGGTCTCTGTGTGGGTCTCTGTGTGGGTCTCTGTGTGGGTCTCTGTGTGGGTCTCTGTGTGGGTCTCTGTGGGTCTCTGTGTGGGTCTCTGTGTGGGTCTCTGTGTGGGTCTCTGTGTGGGTCTCTGTGGGTCTCTATGTGGGTCTCCGTGTGGGTCTCTGTGTGGGTCTCTGTGGGTCTCTGTGTGGGTCTCTGTGTGGGTCTCTGTGGGTCTCTGTGTGGGTCTCTGTGGGTCTCTATGGGTCTCTGTGTGGGTCTCTGTGTGGGTCTCTGTGTGGGTCTCTGTGTGGGTCTCTGTGTGGGTCTCTGTGGGTCTCTGTGTCGGTCTCTGTGTGGGCCTCTGTGTGGGTCTCTGTGTGGGTCTCTGTAAGGGTCTCTGTGTGGGTCTCTGTGTGGGTCTCTGTGGGTCTCTGTGGGTCTCTGTTTGGGTCTCTGTGTGGGTCTCTGTGGGGGTCTCTATGGGTCTCTGTGTGGGTCTCTGTGTGGGTCTCTGTGTGAGTCTCTGTGGGTCTCTGTGTCGGTCTCTGTGTGGGTCTCTGTGTGGGTCTCTGTGTGTCTCTGTGTGTGTCTCTCTCTGTGTCTCTCTGTGTGGGTCTCTGTGTGGGTCTCTCTGTGTCTCTCTGTGTGCGTCTCT